AACACCGGGAACAGCGCGTTCCCAGTGCCCGGGAGGGGCCCGAGCCTCGCACGGACACGGCCGGCACGGGGGGGGCGGAGCGGGCAGCACGAGCGACAGAGGAGCGCAGGGATGGCAGCATGGGGGGCTCCACAACATCCCCTCCTGCCCCCTGATCATCGGACTCTCCCTGGCTTGGAGTGAGGATTTCCAAGCTGGCTGCTGGTGCATCACGCCGCAGGGAAGGACTGCGTGTTGTATGGGATTTCACATGCCTTCTGTACCCTGTGTGAAATCAAAGAGAGGAGAAACATTGCACCAGACTCTGTACTTAAGCCCCAGGGCTTGTTCCAGGTGTTTCTGTGCTTGTCTGTCCCTTAATAAATCCAAAACTCCCTCCCTACAAGTCATGAACCATGTTTGTGCACACAGCTCTGCTCTGTGTCCCTGGGTGTCATGGGCTGCCCTTCCCTTCCGCAAGCTGCCAGTCCTGCCCAGCACTTGGTGGGTGCTCCTGCCCCTCTGTGCTGATGCCTGAGGAGCATCCCTGCTCCTGTCTCCTCAACCTGCTTCAGAGGCCCTGGGAGCATCCCTACCTGTGAACCTCACCTGCTTGGTAGCCCTTCCTCACACTACCAGCCCAGCTTTTCCCCTCCCAGCACTGCTGATACTCTCATCCCCTTTGTTTTATTCAATTTGAGTGGTTTTTGAGAGGGGGGTCAAGTACGACTCATTTTGAATGGATGGGGGAGAGTGAAAAATTACTTTGGCTGAGCAGCAGGAAAAACTTTCTCCTGGATTTCAGTGTGCAGGTATGAGGAACATGGGGAATGGGGCTCCACAGTGCTTGGCAGGGTAGTGCTGCAGAGGGACAGAACTGCTTTAATGCCCCGTGTTCACGCAAGTGCTCTGCAGCCCCGTGCAGGTGACAGCACAGAGAGACAGGACAGTGTGAAGGTCATCTGCAGCCACTGCTGGCCCTGCAGCTATTGATTTGGAACTTGCCCCGTTCATGCTAACCTTGGCAGTGCCAGCTCGACCCTTATCAGTGCTGATAAACCCCACCACTACCTCCTGTCCCACCCTGGTGGTCTCACAGTGTGAGGTGTTGTGGTGACAGAGCTTTGCTGCAGCTCTGACCGTGCACCAGTTGTTCTGCTGCTGTGATGCTCTAAGTCCAGGACACCTCTCTCCTATTTTTGCACAGAGACTGCAGCCACACCAACTCTTTTAACCCCGGGAGGGTGCCTACCCTTGCTGAGTGTTTTGGGTGAGGAAGGATGCGACGACGGCTGCAAACCCTTTTCCAAAGGAAATTTAAAATCAGCCTCCTCTTTCTTCTGCTCGTGGCCCTCGTGGTGCACCTGGTGATGGATTTCACAGCCCTCAGGCCCTGTGGCTGTGATAGGAAAGCACCAAAAGCTGCAGGTGTCCCATCAGGCAGCCCCATGCTGACTGGCCTCAAAAAGATGAGCCTGCGGATCCTTCAGGATTTCAGTGGCAGCAACGGCTCCTTGGAGAAGAGCTCCCAGCCACAAGGAGCAGGACTGCATGCAAAGGCTGGAGAGATTGGCGCTCGGCGCCAGCACGGAGAGGGAAATGCAGGGCAGACCAAGGGATCAAAGCTGGCGGCACTCTTTGAGCATCCTCTTTACAACATACCAATCCCAGAGGTGACAGAAAAAGACAAGCTGTTTGTCGTCAACCCCGCGGAGAAGTTCAGCCTGCACAGCAGTGGGAGTGACGAATGGTGAGGAGCAAGCTCAACCCTAGCTTGCTTTTGTGGGACTCGTGGGGTTGAGGGAACAAGCAGCTGGGACCAAACAAGTAGTTTCCCTA